AGATAAAGTGGAAACCGTTCGCAACTGCTCTCGACTACCAAAGGATGTGATTGAAGCCATTGTCACTATCATTGCCAATGAATTACTCGATGGCAATGAGAATCTAACCATCGGTTCCATACCGAAGTTGTTGACCACCGATATGTTGACTCACATGAAGAGCCAATGCGGAGGAATACAGACTTTGCTCAGGAATAATAAACATATTTTTGAAGGTATTTTCGTAATTAAAACATACGCTTTGCAATGATTTCTCCATAAATTGAACGTGACTTCATACTACCGGTGCTAATAAATTTGAAATGTATTTAAGAAATCTGATTATCACATAAAAGGCAAAAATTTTACAATTTTAAATCAATGAGTGAGTCATACATTTGAATGAATGAATTATTTAAAAATAGTTTTTACGAGAGTATTAGTCAGACTTTATTTTCATGTATTTATTATCGCTTATTATGTAAGTGAAGGTCGCGTTTAGGTTTGCATTGAGGTTATTGGGGAACACTTTTTAATACATTTTTGTATATTAAAGTAAAAGTGCATGCATTAGATAATCGACTTTTTTTATAATAACCTATTTGTGTGACTCATACATTGCCTAACACCCCGTTCCCTAAACTGAATTTAAATGTGGATATGTTTTTGGCAAACATCTGTTTTGAACCCCTTTTTTGACTGTTTGATAATAATTAAGGAATTCATAACAATTATGTGACATTTGTTTTGAATTCTTTATAATCAGTCAAACATTTGGTTTCGAGTTTAACGTCTAATTTGAAAGTTTAGATATTTTCAACGTATTGGTAGTATTGTGTAAAAGTCACGAAAATTTTATTATCATTTATTTCCGCTTAATATTTAATTCACACCATTTATTATCAATGATTTTAATTATCTCTTAAATGCATTACACGACTCAAATCTTTCCCATTAAACATACTTTTGACTGTTATTTGAGACTTATATCAAATTATTAAGATTTGATTTAAAAAGTAATTTCAAATATTTTTGTTATAAAATAGAAAACTTTATTTTAAAAAGTTTTTATGAATAGTGTTTTTATTGTATTTATTATTACTGGTAAAATGTTATGCATTTACTATAAAATTATATAAATAATCAGAAATTTATGTATCAATTGTGTGGTGGGAAGTGGTTGTTAGCACAGGTAGTTGACAGACAGATAGGCATCAGATGAGATAATACTAATGTAAATGACATGAAATCTAAAAGTGTTTTATATGATTAGCATAACAACCAAACAATGCCTACAAAAATAGTTTAGACTACTTTTCCCTAAATTTTATGCCATCGGAAAACACTATACGAAAAAATTGATTTAAAATTTTATTCATTTTATTTTGCGGTCCAATAGTAAGCGGAGGTATAATTGGGTTCACTCGACCGAAACCCATCGATGTCACCACAAATGGCACCACAGATACGGATAAACATNGCCATCCCAACGGCTGTCCATTACCTGCCACTCAATGCCGTTATATTCACTGAGAAATGACAGCAAAACTACTAATCTTTTGGTTACCATTTGTATACTGCCCTAAGGCTAAGGGAAACGAGTAATGTCTTTATAAACACATACCTCTCAGCCTTAAGTGACTTTCACCACAAAAAGCACTTCTCATACCAAACCAGTGATTCATCCGATGCTGTAATCACTAGTATTTGTCTATTTGTTAGCTTTTGAGTACAAAAACATTTTTTGTTTGAAGTGTAAGATGTAATCAGTTTTTTCTCTCAAAAAGTAATTTGTTTTTTGCGATAATGTCACTGATTTTGTATTACAATATACTGTATTGTAAAAAACTTTTGTGAGTATACTTCAGGATATTATTGCACATTATACTGTATTTGAGGGAATTTTTGTGATTTTCAATGTTTAGAAATCGATGAATAAATTCAATAATTTTTATATTTTTATGAATATTATGAATAGACGTTTAAATTTAATTTTCAGATTCAATAATTTACATGTATTTTGAATATTTGGATAAGTTTTTGATGAATTGAAATAAAATAAAACGAATGAATGCATTGAATTGAGAACTTATGAGAAAAAACATGTTTTTATGTTTCAAACTTTTCGCCTTTAAAGTCCATATCAAACTATATCTGAATTTATTTATTTTATTCGTATATAAAACAGATTAATATTTCACAACAATAATCCTTATATGGGCTACACTTATATAACAAGTCTCTATACCAATAAAGTCCAAGTTTTTTAAACTTTAAAATATTCGACTAAATGTTTAGATCCTTTTATGAATAGTTTAATCTGTAGTCTACGGTACATACAGATTATCACTGAAATATTTATCAACTTTTACGCTAGTTTTTCAATTCATAGATTTCAGTAGAATTGAAACTTTGTTTAATTCATAAACTCTAATAACTATTATAGCCTTGTATTACATA